AAAAGGAACAGATCATTTCAATCCTTTCTACATTAAGTTGCTTGACCTTTAAGTGGGTGTACTGAACATCAGTTACTAGTTCCTTAAAAATCAAAGGAAGGGTTTATTGTTCAGTGCCATGGATAAAGGGATGGATATAGATGAAGAAAAGGCAAGTAGCTTCATCCAAGGCTAAAGTTTTTTCATCGTAAAGGAAAATCCACAGGGTCACAGAATTTAAAATAGAGGCAGAGAATTGGCTGAATTTACTTACCATGGACCCTTAACTGCATAGGGCGGGAAGGGAAGACAGCAGAGGGGTATTAAAGTGAAAGGGTCCTGCACCCCTCCTTATGTTAGGTCATGTATGTTTTACAATTCATTTTTGGTCTCATATAGATAAGAGATTTTTTACTTTGAAATAATTGTAGATTCACAAGAAGTAAAGCAAAGATATTTCACAGAGGTCCTGTGTACCCTTCCCTCAGTTTGCCTTAGTGGTTATGTCTGTTGTAATTATAATGTAATATTAAGACCAGAGATTAGACACTGGTATATGCTATGTACGTATTTCTAGGTCAACTCTCATTTTTGAAAGTATTTTTTAAATGATAATCATCAACATATAGGAAAGTTTTTTTTCACTATTTTTTATTTTGCTGTTTTCTTTATAATCATTATCACTGTTTGAAATTAGTATCTTTAAATTTTTTTTAATGTTTATTATTTATTTTTGAGAGAGAGAGAGAGAGAGAGAGAAAGAATGCACAGGGGAGGGGCAGAGAGAGAGGGAGATACAGAATCTGAAGCAGGCTCCAGGCTCTGAACTGTCAGCACAGACTACGACGTGGGGCTTGAACCCCTGAACCGTGAGATCATGACCTGAGCCAAAGTTGGATGCTTAACCTTAAGACTGAGCCACCCAGGGGCACCTGAGTGGCTCAGTCAGTTAAGCGGCTTCCTTCAGCTCAGGTTGTGATCTCATGGTTCTTCGGTCCAAGCCCCACATTGGGCTTTCTGCTGTCCGGGCAGAGCCCACTTCAGATCCTCTGTCCCTCTTTCTGTCTGCCCTTCCCCTACTTGTTCTCTCTCTCTCTCTCTCTCTCTCTTTCTCTCTCTCAAAAATAAATAAATAAAAAGAAATTTATAAAAAAAAAAAAAAAAAAAGACTGAGCCAAACAGGTTCCCCTGAAATTAGTATTTTTACTGCTTTCTAATTAATTAACTTCTGTCTTCTCTTTATTGTCTAAAATTTTCAGTTTATTTTGAAATTCCTCAAAATCTGTGACATGCTGATCACAGCTTTACAAAGATTTCAGTGCTAATAGTGGCTGTGTCTTTTTTTTTTTTTTCTTAGTTAGGGATTTAAATAGAGATTTGAGAGGGTGAAAGTTGAATGTTGGGGCTGGTCACTACATTATTTTAATGTCCCATATCAACATTTTATTTTTTAAATTCCTTATAATGATTAACTTATTTTTCAAAATAAAAATGTTTTCCCTTAAAGCTGAAACATATGTTTTCTCTTATCAAAAAGTAAAATTTTAATGAGTGATAAAAAATATGGTAACAAAAAAATTTAGTGCTTGCCCTTTTTTGAATTAGTTTAGTTATTAAAAAGATTAAAAAACATTTTTTTTAAAGTAATCTCTACACTCAACATGGGTCTTGAACTCATGACCCCCAGATCAGGAGTCGCACATTCTACTGACTAAGCCAGTCAGGTGCCCCAGTTTAGTTTAAAAAGACTGTAATAAAATATCAAATATTGTATAGCTATTCCTCTATTTAGATTTATAGAGAACTGTTTGTAAATCTAGATGATATACATTTAATTGGATGTCTTTTCTGAAAATAGCTCAGTTTCATCTACTTCCAGCTTGATGATCTCTGCTGTTGTTGAGGAAACTCTTGTCTGGTTATCTCAGTGGTTCTGAATCCTGCTGCACATTAGAATCCCTAGTGAATTAAAACAAATGATGCCTGGAGTCCACTTCCTCAGGATTTGATTTAATTGGTTTGTGGTGAGGCTCGGACATTGTTGTTTCTGTTTTTGTTTTTGTTAAAGTTTCCTGATGATTCTTTTTTTTTATTTTAGTGTTTTTATTTATATTTGAGAGCAAGAGACAGAGTGCAAGTGGGGGAGGGGCAGAGAGAGGGAGGCACAGAATCCCAAGCAGGCTCCAGGCTCTGACCTGTCAGCACAGAGCCTGACGCGGGGCATGAATCCATGAACAATGAGATCGTTACCTGAGCTATAAAGTGGACACTCAACCACCTGAGCCACCCAGGCGCCCCTATTTCCTGGTGATTCTTAAGTACAGCAAGGATTGGATACCACTGAGCTATGATAATATCCACAGTAGCTGATTTGCCATTTACTTTGATTTTGCAGATTCAAACAGGGCCTGAACATATGCATTTCTCTCTGGTTTGTGACAAAAATGTTACATTTCTCCCCTGCTTAGTCTTTACATTCTCAGGCACTATCCTAGTCTCCTCCTGAATTATCATTGGTGTCATAGTGCTCTTCTGTCACTGCTTTTTGTTGAAAGGAAGAGCCCTATTCATAGGTTGCACGATTTCTTTGTCTTAAAGATTCATACTTACTGTTGAACTATGTAGCCTGCATCTAAATGCTACATTTGAAATTTTTTGAAACCACTTTCAAATTTTATTATTTCTTGTTTTTTATTTCAAGTGCCTCTTCTCACTAACATTTCAACACTTAGGACTTATGTTGTTATGGACACGATGGAGTTAGTTCCACTCAAAAAATATCTCAAAGTTAAAGACAAACACAGCATGCACTTGAATTAATAATATTGTTTCAAAGTCTGAGGTGAACTCAGGATATTGGTGGCTAAGAATTGATTTGTTTTTGCTGAAGCTTTGTGTTGATGAAAAGTTTTAAAGTAGAAAGTTTAGTAATAGAAACGAAAATAATAGCTACCGTTTTGTTGATATAGTTTGCTGGGTATCTATTCTGAGGAAAGTACTATTACTGTCTTCAATTTATATTAGCAAATTAAGGTATAGAGAGGTTAAATAACTTGTCAAAGTTCTAATTGTCATGAAAAATAAAATAGCACATTAATCTTCTATGATAAGAGAAGTCAAATGTTATATCCTATGGAATATAAAATAATCAAATGTATATATTTTTACTTATTACATTTCCGAATGCTGAAAATGGATTGGTAAGCTTGACAAAAGATAGTTATGGCTTAGCTGTCAGTGATGAAACTTTGACAGTTTTGTGCACAGATGTAGACCTCTTCCCTTATTTATTTGATGTCTGGTTACTAAAGAGAACTTACTTAACTTAGTTTCATCTTGTCTTTACTAATTCTTTTTTTTTCATCTTCTCTTTTGGAGTATTTCACTTTTTGTTACACAGGGAGACTAGAAACGTGTCACTACCAATTTCAAATTTTATATATTTTAAGTGGTAAAATTATTACTATTTTTTAGAGATTTTATTTTAAGTTTATTTCGAGAGAGAGAGATAGAGAGAGAGGATGCATATGTGTGCATGCAAGCAGGGGAGGGGTCAGAGAGAGAGGGAGGGAGAGAATCCCAACCAGGCTCTGTGCTGTCAGCTTTGAGCCTGACATGGGGCTCTATCCCAGGAACCATGAGATTGTGACTTCAGCCTAAATCAAGAGTCAGACACTCAACTGACTGAGTCACCCAGGTGCCCCCTAAAGTGGGAAAATTATTAAAGTTTACTTATTCAGGGAATGAGAAGATAGAATCTAAATTACTTATCCCCTTAAATCTATTTATCCTTCTGTTGTGTACTTTTTGGTTAT